CCTAAACCCTAAACACTAAAACCTTCAACCCTCAACCCTAAACCCTAAACCTCAAACTTTCACCACATGTAAATCGTCCGAATCCGAATCCCAAACTCTGGCAGCCAGAATCTTGTCAAACACAAAAGCACCTAAATTCGAAGTCCTAGATCCTAAGCTCAGTAAACCCTAAACCCTGAACCTAAACGCACCAAACACCGTCTGTCAAGGATTCGGCTTGCAGGGTCCCTGCTCGCGGCACAGGGAGGCTCACCTATCAGGGAGAGCTTTTTGGGATTCGGGTTTAGGGTTTTGGGTTTCGGTTTAGGGTTTTGGGGTTTGGGGTTTAGGGTTTTGGGGTTTCGGGTTTAGGGTTTTGGGTTTTGGGTTTCGGTTTTTAGGGTTTTGGGTTTCGGTTTAGGGTTTTGGGGTTTCGTGTTTAGGGTTTTGGGTTTCGGTTTAGGATTTTCGGGTTTCGGGTTTCGGGTTTAGGATTTTTGGTTTCGGTTTAGAGTTTTGGGGTTGGGGTTGAGGGTTTGGGAGGTTGGGGGTGAATCGGCTTATTTCAAACTAGGGTTGTAGCCCCTGGGGGTTTGGGAGTTTAATGTTTCGGGGACTGCGCCTAAGGATGTATGTTTGGAGTTGGGTTCGCCGACAAGTCTTAGCATCATATTGCTACTGTTTCTCGTGTTCTTGCTTGGTTTTTATACTGAGATGTTACAGCCTTATTATCATGAATGTCATCATCAGTCTTCTGCTTCATCTTACCATCACCAACACCCTCGTCATCCTTATCGTCACCCTCATTGTTGAGATACTTACTGCACCACACATAGCATTGCTGACGACGTGTGTGTCATGATTGCACTTCTACGAGTTCTTATCGGTATCATCACCGATGCCCTTAAAGGAACCCATAAAAAGGGAATCCGTAGAGGAACCCCTAGAACCTAAACTCTAAACCCTGCATCCTAAACCCTAATCTCTAAACCCTAACCCTTAACCCGACATCCTAAACCCGAAACTGTAAACCCTAAACCCTTCTTCTTCCAGCTTGTGCTCCTTGAGTTAAACGGCCCATGCTTCGGTAAGTTGACTGCCACGAAAACCCTCGAATCTTCAGCCCTAAAAACCCAACCTTGAACTACCATAAACTACTGCTTTGTGGGTTCTTAGAATAAACCTTAATATCGGATTTGAAAAGACCTTACAAAAAGTGGGTTTCGGTAGGTTAAGGTACATTCTAAACCCTCCACCCTCAAACTAAACCCTAAAACCCTTAAGCTCTAAAGCCCTTACGCCCTGGGACCCGTAAACCGTTATGCCCTAAACCGTGGAACCCTCAAGCCCTCAAGCCTAAAGCCCTAGATCTTTAACCCTTAGCGCCCTCAACCCTCAAACCCTTAAGCCCTAAATCCTAAACCCATTAACCCTGAAGCCCTGACGCCCTAGACCCTAAGCACTAAATCCCAAGTGCCACCCAGAGAGCCCCAAACCCTAAACCCTAAACTCTAATTTGAGGAATACAATATTATGGTTTAAGGTGTATTCCTTAATTTAGGGGTATTGGGCTCTCTGGGCAACAGGTACAAGCCAGGCCCCACAAGCCCGGCGTGCAGCCACGGCGGGGATCTCACATCCTTTTATTTTCATTTTTTTGGGTGGTTTAATAGTCAAAGCCGGGTTTCATAGGGTTTTGCGTCGGGTTTGTGTTACTCTTTCAGATCAGGTTGTGGCTTGTTTAGCTTTTCTGCCAGAGGTTTCTTTCGGATGTTTCGGCTGTTTCAGATTGCATGTGGAGGCTTAAAAGGTGCTCCAAAATCGTACCCGAAACCATAACCCTAAACCGTAAACCCCAAACCTTAAACTTTTTCGGTGATTGGAAGGGGCGCTATTCATTAATTAGTGGGTTTGGGGGCTCACAAAAGTCTGATATCCGAACACGGTTCTTCAGTCGACATTGCAGTCTCTGGGTTGAGGATGAGAGTGACACTGGTGTGTGCGTGTGTGTGGGCTTTACCGAGCGAGCCCAAATTCTTACACACCGAAGCCAAAAACCCGGGTACTCAGTGTTTTGGGCGGTTTTCATTTGATGTGATGCATTCGAAGGGCTTGAAAGTTACGGCATTTTCGGCTTCCCAGAGACTTCAGGAATGTTTCTTTGGATGACGATCCCTGCAAACCCTAAACCCTAAACCCAGGCTTAAGCCCCAAAACCCGACAGCCTAATCCCTAAACCCTACACCATCAAACCCAGGATAAACAGAAATTGTTTGGCAAGTCGCCCAAAGCAAAAGGAAAGACCCGGTCAAAACCCTGGACTTGAACCCTCAACAGTTTCTAAAAACCCTAAACCCCAAAACCCTAAACCAGAACATTTCAAGAACTCCCAAGGCCCTGGCCGCTGCGCGCTGCGTCATAGGCCGGGAGGGGTCTCCGAGCAACGGACTTGCCAGTTAGAACTTTAGGTGTTTTTTTGTGTTTAGGGTTTTTGGTCTGGGGTCTAATTTTAGGGTTCAGGCTTGCCAGTTTGTTTTTTGGACTCAGGGTTTAGTTTATTGTGCTAAGGGCTTTGGGTTTTGGGCCTGGGGTTTAGGGTTTAGGATTCTTGGTGAAACATGAAACGCCCAAATCCTACAAACCTGAACTGTCCAAAATCCTCTACGCCCTAAGCTCTACACCCTGGACCCTACACCCCAAACCTAAAACTCAAATTGGAGCGAGCTGCTTGTGCTGCGGATGCCAGCGTCGAGTGACACTGCGAGCGCCAGCCGTGGACGAGCTTGACGAGGGCCACGTTGCCCTAAACCCTAGACCCTAAACCCTAAAACCCAAACCCCAAACCCCAAACCCTAAACCTAAAACCTAAACCCCAGACCTCAAACCCTAAACCCTAAACCCTCAACCCTAAACCCTAAACCCTAAACCCTAAACCCTAAGCCCTAAACCCTAAACCCTAAACGTGCATGCGCTGAGGATGGCCTGCACCTAAGTGTGCCATGCCATGGTTTGCCTGCGCCAGCTGGCAGATCCACAGTTCAGGGTTTAGGGTTTGTGGATTTAGGATTTGGGGTTTAGGGTTTCGGGTTTAGGGTTCAGGGTTTGGGGAACCCTAAACCCTAAACCCTAAACCCTAAACCCTAAACCCTAAACCCTAAACCCTAAACCCTAAACCCTAAACGATAACCATACTTCCCCAAAACCCTCGCCTTGCCGCGCTGCATTTGGAGCCCTTTGGGGGACTTGGAGGGTCGGGGGGCGTAGTAAGTAGAGATACTAAGTAGAGTCAGAAGTACCCTAAAAAGGGATCCTAATTGGGGGTATGATACTTATAAAGCTATAAAATATTAAAATTAAGTAGAGTTAGAAGTACCCTAAAAGGGATCCTAATTGGGGGTATGATACTTATAAGGCTATAAAAATAACTAGCTACTAAGTCCAGGAGGTCTTTGGGTGGGACCAGCCTCGATTTCAGGAGGTCCTCAAGCTCTACTACATGCCAAGCCCAAAGCCAGCCCCCACTGTCAACCAGCCCAAAAGGCGAGGACCCCTAGCTCAATCCCAAGTGTTCGAAAATAATTACACGCATTGACATGACAAGAAGACCCAAGCCCTAAACCCTAAACCCTAAACCCTAAAGAAGACCCAAGCCCGATAGGGTTGAGAGATGTGGGTAGTCAGTGCCTAAAATCGTACATCCCCGCACCCTAAAACCCTAAACCCTAAACCCCCAAAACCCTACAGCCCCAAACCCTAAACCCTAAACCCCAGAGTTGCGCTTTTCGGGTCTGACTCCGCTGTTGCCCCCACGGTGGCTCCCGAAGGCTTGGCGCAGGTTCCACTCCGGCTGGTGCCTCCACGAAGGACTGCCTTGCCATGGCTGATACGCTTCAGTTTAGGGTTTAGGGTTTAGGGTTTAGGGTTTAGGGGTTTAGGGTTTGGGGTTAGGGTTTAAAGTTTAGGGTTGGTCATACGGTTGATGATATATATCCTGCACTACCCATAATAGGGAATATACTATAATTCCCATAGTTTAGGGTCCTGAAGGTAATGCAGGGTTTATATCATCAGCACTATGGTTTTTAAAGGGTCCTTTTAAGGGTCCTTTTAAGAGTCCGTTTCAGGGTTCTTTTACGGGTTCTTTTAAGGGCTCCATTAAGGGCTTCAGGGATTTGAGGCTTGGGGGGCCTTGCCGCGGCTAGTGCCTTTGTTCTTCTAAAAAAAAAGGGGAGTTTAGGGTTTAGAAGGGCTTTGGGTTTAGGGTTTAGGGTGTAGGGATTTAGAGGGCGTAGGGTTTAGGGTATGGCGACTATGGGGTAGGATAGGGTTCCTTGAAAGAGTTCCTCTAAGGGCTTCGAGGAGGGTTACTTTAAGACTTTAACCACAAGGGGCCTGAATCGTCTCAAAGGCTCCTTCAAAAACCTTTACAGATGCTTGGAAGATCCCAGTCAAGTCAAGAGCCATGGGTTAAACCCTAAACCCTAAACCCTGAATTCATAGTTTTGGTTGGAAGTGTTGTGTGTCTTATTTTCATAATGTTTCAGTGTTTGGGAGTAGTGTGTACCTGCAACAGGCGATGAAGCATTGATGAACGCATGAGCCCGATAAATCCTTGTGAAGACCCTAAACCCGAAACCCTAAACCCTAAACCCTAAACCCCTAAACCCTAAACCCTAAACCCCTAAACCCTAAACCCTACACCCTAAAACCCCGAACCCCACACCCTAAAACGGGAGAACTTGGGGAAGCAAGGACTACCGACATCTTCGAGCGTCTGAACCTCGGTGCTCGCGTCGGATGCAGATTTCTTCTGAACCTCGAGACTCCCAGATCAAAGCCGTGTCAAAACGCCCCTAAACCCTAAACCTCTAAACCCCAAAACTCTGAGCCCTAAGCCCTAAACCCTAAACCCTAAACCCTAAACCCCAAACCCCTAAACCCTAAACCCCAAACCCTCAAACTTTGATGAAGCCTCATGGGATTGACCCAGAGCCAGCCACACAGGTTGTGACTGATGCTTGTTTGTCGTGGGCCCTGAGTTCGAGGACGCGACTTCATCTTATGCTTAAGGGGGAGTGGGAGTGGATCCTTACATAATCCTTTATAGTGGTCTTTGTGTCCTGTAGCACCGGTAAGTCAGGAGGGATGTCGGGTTTGGGTCGCTTCGGGCTCGGGGTGTAACAGCCTAGCATTTCGATGTTTTGGTGGAGTGTCAGGGCCCAAACCGTAAACCCTAAACCCTAGATCCAGATGGACAAAGGAGCTCCAAACAATCTAGCCCCGAGTTCATACATGGAGTTGTGAGGTTCCCAGATGGCCCAATACCCCTTAATTAAGGAATATAGGTTTAGGGTTTAGGGAATATAGCTTAGATCATAACATGAAGCCCCCCCTACATAGTTTAAGATGCCTTCCTTACTTCAGGGAAACCCTAAACCCTAAACCCTAAACCCTCAACCCCTAAACCCCTAAACCCCTAAACCCCTAAACCCCTAAACCCTAGACCCTAAACCCTAAACCCTAAACCCTAAGCCCCTAAACCGAACAGAGCCCCCCCCCGTGAGGACGACTTTGGTGAAGCTCCGGCGAGGACCCCGGGAACCATGGAGGCCGCCACACTCTACTGAGATCCTTCCTGGAGCAAAGGGCAGTGACGGTTTAGGGTTTAGGGTTTAGGGTTTAGGGTTTAGGGTTTAGGGTTTGGAGCAAAAGCAAAAGGACAGGAACCAAAGAGCAACGGCAAGCGATGCTGAAGTGCCGTAACGGCTTCCACTGGAAAGGTCCCTGCATCCTCACCAGCGTGCGATGTGGGGCTTTGCCGATCATCGGCTACATGTGCCCATCGAGAAAGTGGAGGACTTCTCGATTTCATTTGCTGCAGCTGTCCGTGCAGCATTCATCCTGTGCGCGAGCAGGCTTCAGGCAGAAACATCCGAACGGAGCGACGTATGCACCGCATTTCGAAGCTCTGAGCCCGCAAGGTGTCCTTCATCGAACTCAAGTGATGCCGGATCGGCGTTTGCTGCCGGGCTTTGTGCCCATAGACACGAGGGATGATGTGCCTTGCGGTCGAGGCTTATGTGAAGGAGTGCTCCACTGGATTCTGGTGCCGGCATCGAGATCTCACGAGTACCATCGTGGCAGCCCGGCCATTAAGATAATTTGTTGTTGCTGTGTTAAGCTACATTGGCGTGGTGCTATTGTGAATGATGGTCGTGATCGTGGTGGTGGTGGTGGTGGTGGTCGTCGTCGTCACGTCATGCTAACCGCGACTGACGACCATGATGACGATGATTTATGATGGTGGTGATGATGAAGATGATGGTATTGATAACAACCGAGCAAAAGGAGCAAACGGCTGCGCTCGTTGTGAGCGTAAGAACCTTAGGACGCATCCCGAGCCCGCGAGTTACTATAGGGGTTGCACGAAAAATTAGCTATACTATCCCTCAGCGGTCCTTTGTAGAATTCTAGTTTACTAACACCAAAACCCTGTTCTAATTCTTAAGTTCCCTATGTTAATTAAACCACTCGTATACTAATTATTTGTTATATGAGCCTTCTAGAACCCTTGAAGGACCCCTCTAAAGGAACCCTATTCTAATTATAGGCCCCTATACTGAACCCCCTCCCCCACAATATCACTTGGCATACTTGAAGGACCCCCTTCAAAGGAACCCTATTCCAACTATCCCTAAACTCTAAATCCTAACCCCTATGCCAAAAAATAATATGACGGCCCCCATCCATACTGCCTGTCTTGAAATCATAAGGACAGGGATCGAAACCTTGCCGTGCTCGGCGGCGGGGACCATGGGCTGGATCAGATCTGTGCAAAAGCGGCCTGCTTTTCGGGGGTTTAGGTTTTGGGATTTAGGGTTGAGGGGTTCAGCGTTTAGGGGCTCTAACCGGCTTTTAAGAATCAGAACAGGGTTATGGGGTACATTAGAGTAGAGAACTACCAGGGGCGACTATTCGTAGTTATTCCGACCCCTATCTCATGTTCTTGCTGTTGAGGGCTTCGCGTTGTGTAGTTGAGTGTTGCCTAAACCCTAAAAGGGTTTTAGGGTTGAGGGTTTAGGATGTAGGGTTTATGGTTTAGGGTTTAGGGTTTAGCAATTTAAACCCTGAATCCTAAACCCTAAACTCTAAATCCCTAGACCCTAAACCCTAATCCCAACTTTTTTGGGCTTGGGGCTGACTTAAGTGTGCTGTTCCCTCGGCGGCAGATGTAGACTTCATTAGCTTTCGCAGAGTGTTCATGCACACAGGGGGCACAATTGAAGCGAAGATCATCTAAGAAGCGCAAGAAGCAAGAAAGAAGCCTAAATAAGTACCATTGTTATTCCCCAGGGTCCCTTTGTATAATTATAAATTATAGCATCAAGGAGCCCGAAACCCTATTCTAATTTGTAAGGCCCCTACATTGCACGTCCGAACAGGGGATCCGGAGGAGACTGGTTAAGAAGTTGAATTATGGTCCGATCCCCGTCTCAGGGACAACGCGAACCACAAGGCTTAGGGTTCAGGGTTTATGTAACCGTTACTGTGGAGATTGATTTCCTCACCTGTGTTCCTGAATTAGGGAAACGTCTTAGGCTGTCCATGACACTATGCTTTTTATAAGAGCTTTAGCTGAGCCACGAAGAACCATAAAGGTTAAAACCCGCCTGTAAGCTTGGGCCTTGCGCCCGTGCCGCGCCTTTTTCCAACCGTGTAAGAACAACTACACCCTCACAGATCCCCCCCTGAACCCTAAACCCTGAACCCAACACCCCAAAAGCCTAAGCCCTAAAACCTAAACCACAGAACTACAGGGCTTTTAAGCTTAAGTATGAAGGGTCTAGGGTTCAGGGTATCGGGGTTGAGGGTTTTAGGATGAAGTAAAAGTTGTCTTCGGTCACTTTCTCCAAGGACATATGGGTAGTTCTCTGAATTAGGCTACCTTTTCAGGTCCCCTCAAAAAATCCCCTTCTAAGAAGGACCCTAAAAGGGACCCTAACCCCTAAACCCGAAACCCTAAACCCACACAGGCAGGCTCGCTCAGACGAAAAGGCCACTGCACTTTAAAAAACAACACACACACAGGGAGTCTAAGCCTGCCCAATACGGGCCTACGGAGTGGAAACGGTGAAAGAGGCCTTTAAACAAAAATAAACCCTAAACCCTAAACCCTAAACCCTAAACCCTAAACCCTAAACCCTAAACCCTAAACCCTAAACCCTAAACCCTAAACCCTAAACCCTAAACCCTAGCCAGAACAGGGTAAGGGGCTTAGGGCTGCAAAGTGCAAGCGCCGTCTCGGCCTTCAAGACTTGGTTCATCCCCTTAGACCTAGTGCGGCTTTATTGCTTTATAAGTCGTTTTTTTGGTTTGGTTTCAGGGTTTAGGGTTTATGTTCTTGAGATCATAATTCCTGATAAGCTTTACCTTAAGGACGAAAAGAGCCCCTAAAAGGGTTGCTTTTGGGGTTCATTTAAGGGTTCTTATGAGGGTTAGTATGGGCTCTATAGGGTTTGGCTAGGAGGGCTCAGGATTTAGGGTTCGTTTGGGAAAGGCCGTGGCATTAAGTTGCTGATGGATTTTGGCTCAGGGCTCTTGTGGCACAGAGGCTTCGAGTGGGACGGGTATGCACGGACAGCCTACTGCAAGGCTAACTTTGCTTATAACTTGACTTAGAAAGTCCCTTGAAGGGAACTCCATTGTAGAACTCCATAGCACCCTTGAAAGGCACCTTAAACCCTACTTACTGAGTCCAACCCTAAACCCTAAACCCTAAACCCTAAACTCTAAACCCTAAACCCTAACCCCTAAACCCTAAACCCTAAACCCTAAACCCTCAATCCTAAACCCGAAACCCTAAACCCTAAACCCTAAACCCGCCTTTAAGTGATGTCCATTCTGGTGAACGTGCATCTTTTGAGCGGCAAGGGGGTATCCCTGGAGGCCGAGGTGGATGAAACCCCCAACCCCAGACTATTAGGGTTTAGGGTTTAGGGTTTAAGGTTTAGGGTTTAGGGTTTAGGGTTTAGGGCTTAGGGGTTAGGGTTTAGGGTTTAGCGTTTAGCCTAAACTCGACACTATAAAACTTCTCAAGACCCTATAGAACTCCACAGACCCCTTTTTGAGACGCCACAGAACCTTTTGCGAAATCCCGTAGACTGTATTGCCCTAAACCCTAAACCCCAGAACCCTGGGAAGGCGGAGGTGGACGCGTCTGTTGAGTCACTGAACCAACGGGCGCAGAGCGCCCTGGCAACGGGGAAAGGCAGGCTGGTGAACTCTTCTGGAGAGGTGGGGGTTCGGAGTTACTTCAAAAATGCCACCCCAACCCTAAAGCCTAAACCCTAAACCCTAAAGCCCTGAATCCTTTCATGGTTCCTTTAAGGGTTCTGCAGGGTTTCAGGGTTAAGGGTTTAGGCGAGGTTCATTGGGTTCTGGGGTTTTTAAGGGTTCCTGTATTGGTTCTCGGGCTTAGTTTTTTTCTGGAGAGGTCCATGGTGGTGTACGGGTTATACAATGGTTCTACACGGATTCCACAGGTTTAAGGGGCTGGGGTCTTAAAGTGTTGAAGGTTTGGGGTTCAGCGTGCAGGCTTTAGGATGTAGAATGTAGGATTTAAGGTTGAGGGTTTTAAAGGAGTTTCAGACCAGAGGTGGCCTTTGTTTCAAACCTCAATCGTTTTGTAGGACTGCATTTTTAACATCCTGCAAAACTGTGCCCGAATTTATTATTGAACCCTCCCTCTAGGTGTTGGATGGAGCGGCGACGATCAAAACAGCGAAGTTGCAGAACGGCGATGATCTAACTTTACATGTGAACCAGATCCAGATTGCAGCCACAAAGAAAGACCAAACGTGTGCTGCTGCTTTTGTCGCCCTGCTGGGAGATGGCTCCGTGGTAACCTGGGGTGATGGCACATACGGTGGCGACAGCAGTTCTGTGCAGAAGCGGCTGAAAAACGTGCAACAGATCCAAGCTACGTACAGCGCGTTTGCTGCAATCCTGGGTGATG